TTTTATTCCTTCTGTCTATTACCTGTTCTATTATTATATACTATCAGTTTGCTCTATAAGTAACCAAATAAACACAATTAAAAACAGCACCATCTTAAGGATTACAAGAAAAACTTAGATATACTAGATTTACAAACACAATAGAGCGCAATTTGTTAACGCTAATTGCCATACATCCGGCTAATTGCCATACTGACGTCCTCATAATAAATACAAGGTTTAAAAAAATAAATCGAAATAAACGAAAAAAAAAAACAAAAAACAAAAAAAAAAAAACGTTTACAAAGATGTCCATTGGACCCGTATAAAATAAAAAACTAAAGAAGATAACGATCGAAAGAAGAAAAAATAAATAAATAATGAAAATTATACGAAATAGTCACGAACATCTGCTATCAAATTTAATCTTCCATTTTTAAAAATGTTTCTTATTTCGTTTATGAGTTTTTTTTGTTTATTTTGTTCTCTTAGCATAAGTAATTCATTTAAAAATAATCTTTTGACTTTTCTATCAAACTTTTCTAGCAAATATTTCTTAGTGAAAGTTTTCTCTTTGAATTGACTTTTCATTCTGTTAAAATATATTTCACAAATAAAACTTTATAATAATAAATTGCCAAAAAGCCTCTGGGCTGCGTTTTTTTCATATCCAAATAAAATAAATTTAAATTGTTATTATGAGGGTATTTATTAGGGTAGAGCTGGTCTAAAATATCTAGAACATAAAATATTAATGGCTGTACTTTTTCACATTCATACATCATGTGGGCAGTGTTTTCATTTTTAATTTTGCACTGTGGGCAAAGTTTGTCTTTTCTTATTTTAAAATCAAACATTTTATCGTTAGTTGGCAACAAAAAGTGTGCTGTTTTAAATAGAATTTCGCACGCTTTGTTATTAGTATTACTTTTTTGAAGTTTTATAAAGAAATGTTTCCAATCTTTTTCATTTATATTTTTCATGCTTTCAAAAACATCTTTCCATTTATTAAATTTATAGTCTAAACGTTTTGTTGGTTTGTTTAATAATTTGTAAAGAGTTAAGACAGTTAAATTTTTATATTCGTATTTTGTTTTCCTTTTAGCTAAATAAAATGAAGACTTTTTAAAATCATAACTTTGACATTCCTTTAGAATTTCATTGTACCAATTTCTTGGCAGAGCTTTTGTAAGAATTTCTAATTCCTTTTCGGTCAAACCAATGCTTTTATGATGCAAAAAGCCTGGCTGAAACGTTTTAGTAATATCTGCTACAAGTATTATATCGTTTTTAATGTGAGTTTCGCTCGGAGTTAAAAACTTATTTGGCATTGCTTTTATCATTGAGTTAAAAAACAGAGGTTGATTGAAAATTTCTTCAATTTTTGTTATAGGTAAAAAATGTTTTTGTTTTAAACTATGCCAATTAGCTAAGAGCTGAGAGTAAAAAGGGGGTAAGAGTTTTATTTGAGTAGGGATAGTTTCAATAGTTTGTTTGCTTTGGTTTGCATTTCTATATAGATTTAATATGTAAACCATAGCATCTTTCCACGGACCGCATATATTTTCGTTGTATAATTTGCTAATCCACTGCAACTGTATGGCCTTAAGTTTGTTGGTTAAGCTGGTAACTCCTGCGCCGCCCTCATTTATCTTTTGTTGAGTTTTAGTTTTGTTTAATCTACATTTTTTTCCCCCCCCAATAAAAGTTATTAATTTTTGCTTCTATTTTATTTAGAATTCCGTTGCTGGGTAAGGGTGCTATAAAAGCTAAATGCAGTGCTTGAGGGATAATTAAAAAGTTTATGATTGTTTTTCTGCCTTTTATGGACAATTTGTATTTTTCCCATTTTCGCATTGAATTTTCCATTTTATTGAAACGCTCCTTCCAGTGTGTTTCGTACTGGAAGTTTGCGTTATTCGAGAAAAAAATCCCTAAACTTTTAAAAGTGTTTTCATCCTAATTGAAATTCAAATACTCGCTTTTGTCTTTAAAAATATTTTTGCCTAACCATATGCCTTGACACTTGGCAATGTTTATTTTAGCGCCTGTGGCTTTTTGGTTGAGTTTTAAGGCTTTTCCCACTTCTCTAATGGAATCATCTCCAATTAGAAAGAAGTTTGTGTCATCAGCGTATTGCTGTAATTTTGTTTCGCTTTCTTTTACATGTATACCTTTAATATTTTTGTTTTGTCTAACATAACATGAAAATATTTCTGCCTGTATGATGTACAAAATCATTGACAAAGGACAGCCTTGCCTTACTCCTCTTAAAATATCTATTTTTTCTGATAACAAACCGTTAATTTTTATTTTAGCATTTATATTGTTATAGATTGTTTTTATAAAAGACATAAATATTTTTCCAAATCCGAAATGTTTTAAACTATCAAACAAAAAAGCTCTATCAACCCTATCAAAAGCTTTCACCTGATCTATGGAAAGAATGCAAGCGTCTAACTTGCTTTTTTTAGCGATGCTTATAATGTCTCTCGTGTAACTTAGATTATAATATATTGTTCTGTTTTTAATGCAAGCAGTTTGGTTGCTATGTATTATATTTGGTAGAATATCTTTGAGCCTGTTGACCAAAACTTTTGTTAAAATTTTATAATCAACATTTGTTAAAGATATGGGTCTCCAGTTGCAGATATCGTTTTTGTTTCCTTTTTTAAAAATACATGTTATTAGAGCTTCCTTTTGCGAGTTTGTCATTTCGCCTGTAAACAAAACGTTATTTAAACTTTCAATCAAGTCTTTTTTAATCAAATAAAAAAAATGTTTATAAAATTCGATGGTTAGCCCGTCTGAACCGGGTGATTTATTATTTTTCATTTGCCCTAGAGCTTGCTTTATCTCGCTTTCAGAGATCTCTTTTTTTAACATTTTATTTTCTTCCTTATTAACTTTTTTTACTTTAGCATTTAAGAACAAAAATTCTTGAGAAAGTTTGTCGTTTTCTTTGAATTTGTATAAACTTCTATAAAAATGTTCAAACTCTAATAAAATTTCTTTTGAGTCGATTTTAACATGCCCGTCTCTGCCGTTTATTTCTGAGACATATTGTTTAGCTAATTTTTGTTTTTCTAGTCCGAAAAAAAAATGGGAGCATTTTTCTCCTTCTAATCTCCATTGAATTTTTGCTCTTATTGCCGCACCTACAGCTTTTTCTTTTTCTATATTTTCAAGTTTATCTTTTAAAAGGTCGTGAAGTTTTTTCATATTGCAATTTAAATGCATTTTTTTTGATGCGTTTTTTAATAATTTAATTAATTTAAATTCTTTTTTGTTCTTTTGTTGTTTTAATTTTTTGCTAAATTTTTTCGAGATTATTTTTACTCTCTCCTTACCAGCCTCCCACCAATCCTTAACATTTTCATAAACATACTTCTGCTCTTCCCATTCTCTCCAAAACGATTCTATAAGAGCATTAAAATGAGTGTTTTCTAAATGTTTGTTATTTAAAATCCATATTTCTGACCAAAAAGATCTGATAAATATTTTTTTAATTTGAAACCAAAAGCATTTTTTTTTGGGGGGGGGGGGGGGTTTCCTGGGGGATTGTTTGGGAGGGATTTATTCCGGGGGGATTTATTCCGAGGGGATAATTTCTTAGAACCTATCTTTTTAGTTCAAAAAATTTAAATTAATGCAGAAAATACAATACTCCTCATTTAAAAAGTATGTTTGTTTACCTATACTTATTTTTAGTGACGTTTTATCATACAATTTATTTGCAGTTGCGAAAATTGCTAACATTGTCCGCTATTTTAAAATATAACGTTGTTTAAGTATAACTATAAATTTGTATTCGTTAAGTATAACTCTGATTTACAAAATTTTATGGAAAGTTTATTTAGAATAACAATTCTCTAATATATTTAATTACAAAACCGCTAAAATATTTTTATTTTTATTTATTTTTTTATTAGAAAATTATAAACATTTACTGTTTTTTAGAATTATTACAATTGGTTAATATGTAAAATTCAAAATGAGGCAAGATCGTGAGTTTTTTATATGTATCGACCATATGAAAACCACATCAAATTTAGCACGTATTTATTTAAGGGTTATGCCATATTAAAAGGAATAGTAATGTAAACTGCATTATGTGTTGCACATGTGGGCCACACTTATCTTCATCAAATACGTCGTTCATCAACTGTAATAAATTTTTTCACTTTTGATCCACACGAAAGCACTATGACCACTTATGGGCCACATACAACTTTCTTGTCGGGTGGTAATTTCGTAAATTCTAGTATATTGGTTTAATGATAAGTTCTATAGGAATTTTTTTTTTTTTCTTTCTAATCTTTAGTTGTGTCTCGTCTTGTTACTACCGGTAACTTAGAAATTTTTAGTGTTTTGATTTAGTGAAGTATATATATATATATATATATATATATATATATATATATATATATATATATATATATATATATATATATATATATATATATATATTATATATATATATATATATATATATATATATATATATATATATATATATATATATATATATACACGTACACATATAGATTTTTACTTATAGAACTAATATATGAGAATTTTATAAGATATGACTCTCAATACCTTGGACCCTATTCAAATCGATCATTTTTGAATTGGGTTGAGCACGGTGGGGTTGATTACCCAAACTTTAGATGGAACAACACTGGGGATTTTAGGGGCTATTCGAGGCACGGTAGCAGAGGCGGTGGAAAGTATAAATACAGGAGAGGAAAATTAGGAAATATATTTACTACTACATACAAGTACCTGTAAAAACTAAACTGTTTGTTGATATTTTATTGCATTTATTTGTTGATTGTAGCACACATATATATAAGTTTAAAGTTTTATTTAAATTTGTTTTCCGCTTCATCTTATTTTTAGTTCTTTGTTATTAAACAAAGTTTTAAAATTTTTTTGCTCAAGATAAACATCAAAAACAGTAATTGACAGTTTGAAAAGCATTTATTATTATCAGTGGCATAGCAAGTGTTATTAGCGTATCAGTGGCATAGCAAGTGTTATTAGCGTATCAGTGGCATAGCAAGTGTTATTAGCGTATCAGTGGCATAGCAAGTGTTATTAGCGTATCAGTGGCATAGCAAGTGTTATTAGCGTATCAGTGGCATAGCAAGTGTTATTAGCGTATCAGTGGCATAGCAAGTGTTATTAGCGTATCAGTGGCATAGCAAGTGTTATTAGCGTATCAGTGGCATAGCAAGTGTTATTGGCGTATCAGTGGCATAGCAAGTGTTATTAGCGTATCAGTGGCATAGCAAGTGTTATTGGCGTCTGGGGCTAAAATGATAAATAAAAGCACCTAATTTTAATAAAAATCAGGTATTTTATATTAATTATAATAAAAAGAGATTTTTCTTTTTTTTTTTAATATTCTTTCTAAACAGTTTTTGTTCATCGTAAAAATTAATAATAAATTAATTTATTTACATATAAAATTTATTAGTTTAGTAAACTTATGCGTTTTTTAATATTTGAATCTTATCTTTATAATTTAACAACTTCATTACTATAGTTCTTAGACTTTTTGAATTTATCTTTCCTGTTCTGTGTGCCCGTTCAATAGTAAGTAATTTTATGTTGAGATTGTTTTCAAATGCTTTAATGACTATTAATTCGGTTTCCTCCTAGCTTTCCGATTCGTTCTCTTTAAGCTCATCAAGTCGTAGATTGTTTCTTCTTTGCCTGTCCTCTAATTGTCTAATTTTATTTTTTTCTGTTTGACTGATTTCTGTTTTGTTGTGAATTTTTTCCTTAAGTCATGAACTTTCTTTTCTAGAATATCTTGAGAAAAATTAAAACTCTCTTAAATATCTTTTCGAACACATTCATATTTTTTTTAGTCGTTCGTTAACATTTTCAAGTTCTACTTTCTTTGATTCGTTTTCATTGAACAGAGTTTTATTTGATTCTTTTATTGATAATATTTCTGCATTCGAGACATCAATTCTGTCTTTAGCTAATTTTAAGTTTCCGCTGATAAGTTTAAGAATGTCGTTTTGTTGTTTTTAAAACATTTTTGTGAATGTTTCTCGAAAAATACTTATCGAAACTTCTTTATCGTCATTAATGCACGATTCTGTTAATAACTTTTTCGATTTATTCATTATATCAAATAAACCTTTTAAATCCAGCAAGCGAAAAAATAATAAAACAAAAAACGAAAAAAGTGAACAGTTTTGTGTGGATAATAAACCTTTATTAAACGAAGTTAGAACTAAAACCAAATATAACTTCACTTAAATTGTTTTCCATTTGTCTTATAGTATTTTGTAATAACAAGTTAATCGGTCAGAGTCAAGTTGGTAACCCTACATATATTTTTATTAAATTACAGGCAGGTACATAATAGGCATAATAGGCACCTGATATCTGCCGCCCGCGACAAACTGTCCTGGTGCCCCCCCCCCTCTAAACGACCCTGATCACAAGTTTTGTTAAATGAACAATAGTCTACTTAGGGATCTTCCATCAATTATGCAACTTATTTTAAAATGGAAGTTTGAGATTTTAAGAGAGATCATTTGCTCTTTTACGCGGCAATTTTATGGAGTTAAAGTTTAAATGTTTAGTTTAATTAAAGACTCTACGAGGGAAAACTTTTGATCTTATTTGTATTGTCTTTCAGTTATTTTAGCATTGCGTAATTTTCTTCCTAAAGTAGAATTCTACTTTAGGAAGGGATCGCTTCTAGAAGCTACCATAAAACTTTCCTCGAATTTCCTAATGAATACTCTTTCTAATTTTTTTTCTGGTTTTCCGGCTTTTAAAGCTAAATCAGGTTATATTGAAACAACTCACCCTTTAAAGTGTACTGTTTCATGTTTAAACAAGAACAAAGAAAATATTTGTATAACCTTGCAAAAATGCTTTACAATAAATATTTTCCAAAAACAGTATTGATTTCAACTTCCTTTACAGAAAAGGAATTTAATTTGAGTATAAATAAATTTAGTATATTGCTTAAAAATATTGCATAAAATTCACTTTCTATTAAGTAACAAAAATCGGAAAAATCCTTACAGCGATTTTGAATCATATTGAGAAATTAAAAATTTTTTACTTTTACTTTATTTTTAAGTATCAATAAAGATGGCGCTGAAAGAATAAATGTGTGACTTTTTATTTAAAACATTATATTAGGTATTAAAAGACGAGTCTAAAGTTTATTATTTAGACGAGTTATTATCATTTAGACGAGTATAAAGATTATTTATTACTAAACTTGTTAAAAAAAAAAAAATGCAATATAAGAAAATTAAATTTAATGCTACAAAATTACAATTAAGTAGAGATTTTAATGAAAAAAATTTTAGTTATACATGCATATCAATCAATCAATATATTTCCACTTGATAACTGCATATATATATACAATAGTGAGGGACATTTACAAACACTTAAAAACTGATGATGCGTAAAGACCTACGATGATATAAAACAATTATTGTAAAATTATTACAATAATAAATATAACTATATTAATACTAATAGTAATGATAATAGATAACATAAAAGGCTATCATAACAAAGGAATGAATTAAACTAATAACTAAATTAATAATTAGTAGTCAAAAGTAATAATGATATAGTAAATTAGAAGCAATAATAATAATATCAAATGTATAATAAGCAAAATAATGATATCAAAGATAAGATAATATTGCGTTATTAGTAAGAAGGAAGATATAGTTAGTAGAAAGTTAAGTAAATAAAAGATTTTTTTTTTTAATTTTTTTTATTTTTTGTTTTTTATTTTTATTCTTTATCCGTATAGTGTTGTTTTATATATGCATATTAACTTTAAGGTTTAATGCAATATTAAAATTAAATTTTGAGTATATATATATATATATATATATATATATATATATATATATATATATATATATATATATATATACATACATACATATACATACATACACACATATATATACACATATACATACATACACACACACATATATATATATATATATATATATATATATATATATATATATATATATATATATATATATATATATATATATATATATATATACATATACACACACATACATATATATATACATACATATATATATATACACACACACATACATATACACA